AGTGTATCATCTAACTATGTTTCTATATATTGAATAATATTGGATTCGTCGAAATCGCTTTTCTGGACATTAGTTTTTGTCCCACAAATTTATCATCGGACTGAGGAAAGCCATTGATACTATTTTCTTTTCCAATTGGGTATAAAATTCGCATATTTTTGACGAATCATATGGGCCTACAAGTCCATGAGAAACAGTATTAATTGGGGCAAATCCGATTAAAAAGGTCCATGATCTTTTAACACCTTAATTTACAGAAATATAAGTGATTTCCACGGTTTATTTGCATCACACATACTTGCTAGAATTTGTGTACTTTCTAGCATAAAGACATACTTACATGTCCTATGCGTTGAGGTGACAATTGATAGATGGTTGACCGAAGTTTGCTAACTTGACGACTGGGACTTGTTGGATAGCGTTTCATGTCGATAAATGGAGGTATTATAAGTTATAATGATCCCACTCTCTTACGCTTAAGTCAATAATGATCTCAGATCTTTCTTATGCTTTCTCTCTTCAGATTTCTCTCTTCCATTACTGATTTGAGCATCAAAGAAAGAATCACCATAAATACCTTTACAAAATCTATAATATATTTTATGATAGATTATTTTATTTATTATTGATAAAAATTTTAAAATTCACAAACAAAATTAATAAAATAAATAATGTTATGGTGCAACATGTTATTTTTGTGATGAATTGATGCGCATATGAGAAATTATTACTCTTTCTACAATCAAAGACAAAAAGAATTCATCATGTTTATGATGCATTGAGCTTTGTGAAGTAATCATTGAGCAACGAGCTATCATAAATGAGTTGTATTGTATCTATGTAATTTCGCATTAGAGGATTTTTCAGATATGTCATTTGATTTCTATATAAAGTGAGAACGATTTTAATTCTTAGATTCACTTTTACATATTTTTTTATAAAATAAAATTATAAAAATATATTATAAATATTAAAATTTAAATTTCAAGTTAAGTAAATGTTATTATTTTAAAATAACGGATTAAACCATCTGAATTAAACTTCATGTTACTTTTAACACTTTCTCATGACTTCCAAAGGTACGAAAAAACTTGGTAGAAACAGGATTTGGGCTTTTCGAGTCTTGGAAATTCTAGGCGCTCATAGCAAAAGCCCATCAACAAAACACTTTTTGGGCTCTAGGCATTCTGTAAAATATTAACTTCCAATATAGTTAGGATGGCAAGACATCGAGTTTGATTTTTATTCATTTCGAATTCAATTTGATTATATAAATATAATATTTAAATTTGATTTAATTTTTTAAATTTTTTTATATTTAAATCGATTCGATTCGATATTATATAAAATTATATTCGATTTGATTCAATTTCAAAATTAATAAAATATTATTTTTTAAAAATATAAAATATTATTTTTAATATAAATATAAAATTAAATATATATAAATATAAAATTAATTAATTAATTAAAAATAAATTATATATATCGGATTAAATAAGATTAGGTTTACCTAAAATTCGATCTTAATTTTTCTCTTCTATCACTCAACTTGATCCGATCTATTATCTAATTAAAAAAATGACCATAAGAGTTTTGATTAAATCGAAACTCATCGGATATAAGTCAAACTGCTAATTAGTCCAAAATTTGAATAAAATAAATTAAAGAATTTATGAGATAAGAAAATATAAACTTTCCTTATAGTCAAAAACTTATAAACTTTCACGTATACCAAAACAACTTGTTATATTTTCCGTACAAAAAAATGTCATATATATAACATGTTGAAGTTTCTTTAATTTAAATAAAATTATAGTTAAAAACTAAAGCATAGTAATAAAATTCAATAGTAATCATAAATTTGGTCTTAATCCTTAAAATTTAAAAATTCCCAATTTCAAATTTTAGATAAAAGAAATTATTGAATTTATGAGATAAATTTGATAAACTTTTACGTATCTATACTGAAAACCTTGTTGTAATTTAGCATTTAGAAGTTTTTTTAATTTAATATTACTTTGCATAGGATGGATAGAAAAATAAAAAGTTGAAAATTAAAAATAAAAGAGAAAAGTAAAATGATGGAAAGATTTCTTTCATTAGTGTATTTCGTAAGAAAGATGAAAAAATTAAAATATATATAATAAATTTTTTTATTCGTTGTTTGGTAAAGTTAAAAATTAAAAATATATTATTTTATCATTATATAAAGTATTTGTAAATTAAAATAAAAAAATAAAATCTAAACATGATTCATAATTTTGTAAATATACAACATTTACGCATGCTCTCGTATTAGATCTGCTCGTTGGCTTGGCCGGTGTCTATTCGAATTCGAAAATTCCTCTACAATTTTAAAAGATTTGATATAAATATTAAATTTATTAAATAAATTTCGATAAATAAATGGGGTTCGATGAAAAAAAAAAAAGTTGAATTTGAATTTTATAATTTAAGATCAGAGTTTAATCTTATTTGATATAAAAATTTAAAAATATTTTTTATCATAATAAAATAATATTCATTTGCTTTATTTTTTAGAATTGATAAGATTTATTTGTTTTATTAATTATAATATGATAAAACTTATTTTTTTTATACAAAATAATAATCTAATTTTAAATTGTATCTAACAAAATTAAATTGAATGCAAATCCAAATGATTTATAAATTTAATTAAAATTAATTAAATTAATAATTTACAAAAAAAAAATTTTCTCAAATTTAAATATCAATACTTTTGATGGACTTGAATTTTATTATTACATATAAAAATAAATTTAAATAAAAAAATGAAATCCAAAAAATTAGATCGAAACCAAATTCAAGTTTACTTAAAATATAAAAATATCATCTCAGACTCGATTTGAACTGGGTTCAATCCTACTCACGAGCATATTTAAATGGAATTAAGGGTCGTATGATTTTATTTTTAATCATATTAAGGATATCTTCCTATTTATTTGTGTCTTAAGTTATTTTTAACAATTTTAAAATTATATTTTTCATGTTACTTAATGTATTTAAAATTTTATTATTAAATTTATTTTCATAAAGATTAAATCTAGATTGACAAAAAAATAAAATTCACTTCCACATCAACTGAGTTAAAACGAAAAAAAAAAAAGAATGCGACTCTTTTATTATATAAATTATTTATGATGAACATGGTTAGACATAATACAATTAATTTATTTAAATAAATTAATAAATTAAAATATAAATAATAAGATATTTTGTTAGTAATTTTTTTGGTAGATGGAGGAGTTATTTGTTATTTAAATGTCAATAATTAAATAAATAAATTTAAACAAGTTAAAATGTATTGAGTAATTAACGTGAATTAATTATAAATACAATTAATTGATCATGTATAAATGTGATGAATCTTTTAAAGCACAAATTTTTTTCATTTTATAACTTATAAATGGATCCACACCAATATGGTAATGCAAAATCCAAACGCAATTTTATATCACAATTATATCCTTGCATGTATATTAAACTTCCAATGTTGCCCGTGAGGAAAGAGAGTATCCATCTCAAACGTTTGCCACGTCATTTTTATAAATTACATAATATCAAAATATTATTAAAATATTTTAAATAATAATATTTTTATTAATTGAATATTATATTAAAATTTATTAAATTAATTAAATATTCTTAAAATTTTAATAAAATTAATTACTTAATATTAAATAAATATTAATAGTAATCAAATAACATTAAACTAAGTTTAATATTACATTAATTACATAGTATTAAAATAATACTAAAATTAATTAAATAGTATTAAAATAGTATTCAATTAATTAAATAATATTAAATTATTATTTAATATTATCATTTTAACATTTAATATTCTGAAATTAACATTCAATATTATTAAATATTCACTATTAGTAAATATTATTTAATATTTAATTAATATTAAATTAATATGAAATTAATATTTAATTATACTAGACAATATTAAATTAATATTAATTAATATTTAATTATTACATTAAATTATTATTAAGTTTTTTTATTTATTTTTATAATAAATTATAAAAATAAAATGATCTTTTAAAACTTATTCCATCTATATTTTTTAAGTTAATCAAATATATAAATATTAATATTTTTTATTTTGTTCAAATGATCTAAAATTTAATAATATATATTTGTTTTATTTTTTATTTCATAAAATATTAAATATTCTTTTTTTTTTGTTTCATTCTTCAAATTATTTTATTTTGCAAATCAAACGTGTGTTAGTTTTGAAATTAGTGAAAACTGTAAGCCTCGTGCAGTGACTTTCCACCCTCGCCCGTAGCTCGATTCGCTTTTATTCTTTGCACGTGTTACGCCCGTCCAAAAATCATAAATGATTTCAATAAACAAATTAGAGAGGTTGGGAATACAATAAGATTTATCGTTCACGTATAAAACACCACCCTTTTCAAAGTCAACATCTACATGTGAATATTCCTCAAAATAAAATTGTAAATAAAGCTTTTTTTATGCCAAGAAGCATATTTGTTTTGCTAGATATTACTGGTTTTTCTCTTCTATTTTTTGTATAATAAAAACTTGAGTGATAAAAGATTTTTAAATTTTATTTAATATATTTTTTAAGTCTTTTTAAGCAAAGTTATTTACATGAAATTTAATAAATTTATAAATAATTATTTTTTATTTATCAGTAAATTTGAACTCAATACAATTAAAAAAGAAGTCAATTCTTTTGTTACTTGAGCCAATATTCCATTTTTTTTCATTTAGTTACCTAATAATTATATTTTAATTTCTATAAATCTGAAAAAATAATGAAATTTTTCTTTAAAAAAAAAAAAGCTTGCAAATGAAAATAGGTGGGCCATCTTACTAACTACCTTATATCCGGCCGTGTATTTCGCAGAGTATCTAACTTCAAAAAGTCTTTTTGTCCCCATTGCATGTGGGGGTTAAGAAAGCTAAAATCACGGTCTGTTGTGAATATTTTTGTCTACATCATGTGGGCTCTACACGATCTTTATTATGATCCAACGGTGATGAACTTCACATTGATCTACACCATCACACTAACATGTAATGCAAAGATGTTTGGTGCATACGATACGACTGACTATAGGGACCTTCCTGGAAGCCCCGAAGAATTGGTTTTTCCCAAATCGTCTATATATGCACAAATTAAGCAAACCAAAAAACACGAACAATACTTGAAAACTAAAAAAAAAATTTGATATGGGGTTCTCTGAATCAGGCCATGGATGCAAGAAGCACCCACATCACCAGGAAAAGCAAGGGGTTTGCCCTTCTTGTCTAAGAGAAAGATTATCTCGTCTTTGTTCTGCTCCGTCCAAAGAATTAGTTAATCCAAGAATTGCTCCTTCACTGTCTTTTTCCCATGCTGACTACCGTTCGGCTTCGTCTTCAAAATCTGCCTCCCCTGCTCGACATCGTAATCTCCATAAGCGAAACGGATCCGGGGTGATGGGAATCATGGGATCGTCGTCTTTCATGGTAAAGGTTGGTACCACTAATGGATTCAAGAAGAGTAGATCGATTGCTTTCGTACCAAGAAACTTCGATGGTGAAGAGGCTAAGAATGGGAAGAAGAAAAAAGGGTTTTGGTCCAAGTTGCTACGTTTCAAAGCGAAGAAGGATTTTCTGACGCATTCAACGAGTATGAGATTAATGATTGGAAGAGTGAATTAATTTTCTACGGTTCAATTCAATAAATTGTGCATAGTTTTTTTTTCTTTGCTTTGTAACATAATTATGGGATGGGAATGTATGTTTTTCATTAACAGAGGTTTGAATCCTTTGCCTATGGTGTTTTATAATTGTTGATGCTTTCTTTTTTCTTTAATCTTCTTGAAGAAACAAAATTAGGTTCAGGTCGTTCAATCTTTTTCTAAGCTGATGTCTTTCTTTTTTTCATGCATATCAAGAAAGTTGACTTTTGATAATGTACATCACCATCCATATAGAATTATTACTACAAGTTTAGAAGATATAATATGACTAGAAAGAGTCGTGATTTATCATACAACATGATTTAGATGCGGTCGGTTCACAAGTGACAAAAATCAAACTTTCAACCTTTGTTTCACAGCCAATTTCGTTGAAAAGTTCGAAACAAGCTAAAAGGTCGTCCATATCACATGGTTCTTCCCCCTTTGTGGTTTAAACTCGTGGCGATGGCTATCTTTTCATTGACCATTTTTGTCACATCGGTTGCACACGTGCTATAATGCAAAAGTCATTTTGAAAAGTTGTTGAGATTATAGTATTACATATAGCAATAGCAAAATTTGAAAGAAGAAAGTCTATAAAGAATTAAAAAAAAAAATCATGTTCAATTCAAAGTACAAAATCATGTGTCAGGAGCTGACTGCCTACATGTTCAATTCAAATTACAAAATTTGCTTACGCGGAACCACCATTTTTGAAATCATGGGAAATAATTATTTTTTCCAACTGCTGACGGAAGTGTGCAGTCCCAATACATGAAAAACATCCTCACTGGGCTACTACCTGGCATAAGGGATCGCAAGAATTCGATGAGCCATATAATCTGTACATTTCGTAAAACCAGATTTTACACCAGTAACAACACATTTCTCCAAATGAATTTAATAGCATCCCGTAGTGTTAAAAATTACCATTATTCTGATATCATTTATTAAATTAAAAAGTTTTAATCTAATCATGTTAGCAGAAGCATAATTAAATAATCAATGAATCATATAATAGATAATAATTTAATGTGATTCGATCTAATTAACCTACGTTCACATATGAGAAATAAAATTCATTAGTTGTAAAAAATTACAAATATATATCAAATTAAATCAAACACTCATAACTAATACCCATAGACCATCTCAAGCTCATTTAATTTTATGAAGTATTCTCAATCCAAACAAACACATCCCATGTGCACCCTTTCAACACAACCAAAACACATACTTATATACACTCATACATCATACCTATGTGAACCATCTCAATTTCCTCTAGTTCACTCACAAACAAACATATACACCCATAAGACGTAAAGCCCCAATACTCTTATGGGTTGTCTATCCCGTAAAATCTTACAACTCTTTTACATCTTTTTCTTATGCTTAACCCTATAGAGACTTCAACTATTTATAACTATATAAATTTGTCCATTAAAAATCTATTTCATTTTAGAATTTTTATCTTACAAAGTGATATAATACAAAAAAAAAGAACCGAGTTCTTTTTTTTTTTTTTAGTCTATCTAAAATAAAATAGGAGATCATATGAAAAATGTAACCGATTCTTTCCTTTCCTTGGGTCACTGGCCATCCGCCGGGAGTTTCGGATTTAATACCGATATTTTAGCAACAAATCCAATAAATCTAAGTGTAGTCCTTGGTGTATTGATCTTTTTTGGAAAGGGAGTGTGTGCGAGTTGTTTATTTCAAGAATAGGCTGGATTCACCCAGTTGCACTTTTTTTCATTATAACTAGGAAAGAAAAGAGTGCATGATCCCGCGAATTACTTCTGAATAAATTTCAAAATCAAGTCAAACTTGCCTATTAAGAATCTTTTTTCTCTTAGAATTCTTCTTTTGCAAGTTTTCTTATCCATTAAGTAATATCTGACCAATCCCAAAAAAATCTTTTATGGGATTTGAGTCATTATTCCTAACAATCTCTACCTTAACTCAAATTTCATCAAATCATCTGTCTTTATGCTAGACATGCTTGGCTCCACCTGCAATAAAAGTCTCACAATTATTTTCTCTTATGTGCCTTCATGTATCACCTAAACCGATCTTCAATCCTCAAAACTTGAACTCGAATTTTTCTCTTGAATCAAGCTCTTCTAGACTTGCCTCTTCTCATAACTTGAACCATGCTCTTCTTACATTTCGAACCTTCAATTTTTTTCATGTCTTGAACCTTTAGCTCTTCCCACATCTCGAATCTTCAACTATGATACTATTTGTTGGAAATTACCACAGCTCTGATACCACTTATTGGGCCAAAAAATCTTAATCCAATCACACCAGCGAAAAGCATAATCAAACAATCAATGAATCATACAAGAGACAATAATTAAACATGGTTCGGTCCAACTGACCTATGTCCATGGATGAGAAAGAAGGTCCACTAGTTGTAAAAAATTACAAACATACATCAAATCAAACAACTCATAATTATACCCATCGACTCTCTCAGGCTCCTCTAATTTTATGGATTATTCTCAACCCAAATAAATACATATCATGTGTACCTTTTTAACACAACCAAATATATACCAATATGCATCCATATATCATACCTATGTAGACTCTTTCAGTCTCCTCTAGTTCACTCACAAACAAACATACACACATAATATGTAAAGTCTCAATACTCCTATGATGTATCTATCTCATAAAACCCTATAATTCTCTTATATCTTTTTCTTATGTCTAACCCTGTAGAGACTTTACCTATTTATAACCATATAAATTTATCCATTAAGAATCTATTTCCTCTTATAATTCTTATTCTACAAGTCAAACTTGCCTATTAAGAATCTCTTTTCTCTTAAAATTTTTTTTTGCAAGTTAAATTTACCTACTAAAAATCTCATTATCTTAAAATTCTTTTTTTACAAATTTTCTTTTCGATCAAGCAATATTTGACTAAGAGAAAGGGGATTCTTAATAAGTAAATTTGACTTGCAAGAGAAGAATTCTAAAAGAAAATGGATTTTTAATAGGCAAGTTTGACTTACAGGAGAAGAATTCTAAGAAGAGAGGGATTCTTAATTGGCAAATTTATATGTTTATAAATAGGTGAAGTATTTACAGGGTTAGGTATGAGAAAAATATGTAAGAGAGTTGTAGGGTTTTTGTGGGATGGACACCCCATAGAAGTATTGGGCTCTACGTTTTATGGGTGTGTATGTTTGTTTGTGAGTGAACTAGAGGAGACTGAGAGGGTCTATATAGGTATGATGTATGGGAGCATATGGGTATGTGTTTGGTTCTGTTGAAATGGTGCATAAGAGTTTGAGTTTGTGTTTGTTTGGGTTACGAATACTTCATAGGACTGAAGGAGATTGAGAGTGTCTTATGAGTATTGATTGTTGAGTGAGGTTGATGATTTGATGTAAGTTTGTAATTCTCTACAATTAGTGAATTTTGTTTTTTATCCGTGGATGTAGGTCAATTGGACCGAACCATGTTAAATTGTTGTCTCTTGTGTGTTTAATTTATTATTTGATTTCGCTTCCGTTGGTGTGATTGGATTTGAGGCTTTTAGCCCAACAATCTTGATTTCTGTCTAATTCTCGTTTTCATCCCTATCACTTTGGTCTGTGAACGGCCGCTTCAATCTCTGGAATATCTCATCTACCAACTGATCAGAATCAGACGAGTTGAAACGGGGAGATGAGTTTCGTTTCCTGATTCCGGCGTAGGGGAAGAAACTTTTTGGCATCAATATTTGGTTTAAAAATTTGAAACCCGGATTTTATTGACCGCCATGTTGAGGCCAATCCAGATGATGGCCCTCGCTTCTGGTTACTAGAATGTGAGTTGCCTGCTTTAAGCAATGAGATCTTAGCAGAGGTTATGCTATTATCCACCAGTTTTGATTGGACACTTGTCGACTCTGTTCTCTCATGGCAGCATACTTGTTGCTGATGGCTTCTCTTGTGCCATAGCTTCAGCAGTCAGTGGCTCAAGTGGTTGTTGCCTTCATTTCAGCAACGGTACGATCCTGAGCAGTTAGCATTAAGTCAGAAACCGATCAATTTGCAGACTAGCCGGAATGAATCTATAATTCATAGGAACTTTTATTAGTTGCACTGCTAAAAAGTAAAAAGACTGCTTCCATGTTTTAAGATTGGTTACATACTGTAATTTTGTTGCCAGACTCAAAATCAGCACCATTGAAATTCCTTGCCAATGGGATAACTTGTTCACACAACCGGGCGTCCTTGTTCGAGCCACGATCGCTCTGTAAACAGGACAACTTATTAAATCCTGATCATACATCTAAATAATTCTTACCGAGGAATTGAAACCATGATAAAGAGCAGATACTTGCAGAATTCACAAATCAATGCTACTCCTTTGCCTCGTAATAATCCTCCATTTTGTCATTGCCAGATTCAGATGAACATTAATTATTTACTTTACCATCGTAACGTTTTACTGTCATAATGTGTCACATAAACAGCAAAATCACGATCATTCTCTAGAAATGATGGGTCATATCATGCAAATGTCAAATACACCTTTTAAATTATGCATTTCCAATTCTAACTGACTTACCATTAGAAACGAAAAGAGTACTTATTTAGTATACAGTCGGAAGATAATACCAAATATGCAAGCAGGAAGGGGCCCTTGAAGAAGCCTTTGCCAGGCTTTTGGAATTGATGTTGTTGATGAATACCAGTTTTAGGTAAATTTTAAAAAATAAATTACAATGATAAAATTTATTATTAATTCATAATACACTCACAAATTTGGTAAAGATGAATTACTAAATTATTATTTTTTATAAAAAAAAAGAATTAAAATTTGTTTATGCAAAAATGTTGTTTAAAATTTATTAATTCATCATTATCATTCATAATATAAAAATAAAAATTATGTAGTTTAATTTTGGGTACGAACTTTTTGTTAAATAAAAAATAAACTAATATAATATATCAATAAAACCTAACAATCATGAAGTATTTTTTTTTGTCACATCATAGAAGTATTTCAATCGTATTCTAAATCATTGTAATAATTAATAATTCTCATTAGTGATGTAATTTATAGTAAAAAAATTAATTTGTGGTGATACAATGATTATGTAAATAATAAAATATATATTAACATAATGTATACAAATCTATTTATATAAAAAATTCAAACAAAATTACCATAAACAAAAATTGATGACAGTAAATTTTACTTAATTTTCGACTATTAATGTAGATTCACTTTTGAATTTGTTGATATTTCATTTGAATTTATGTTTGAAGTAGGTGAATTTGAAAAAATATATGTGTAATAAATAATGTATTTTTCAGTTGTTTTTCGTTTTGTGAGCTAGTGGTCATAAAAAGTTTTAGGAAAGCATAAAAGTTTGCTTTCGAAGAAAGTCTCCCTCTCTTTTCTTATAAGGTTTTGTCTCTTTGAAATCGGAAAAAAATTTTTTTTTCTTTCAGTCACTAAATAATAAAGTAAGAAATTTAAAAATAAATTAAAGAATTAAAAATATTTTTAAATATAAAAATAAATAGCAAAAAAAAACCCAAAATAGAAGAACCTTGGGTAACTAATGCGGGGTTACTTTCCAAATCCCAACATTAGAGCGAAAAACTTTGTCCGTCAACCAATAAGAATCGAGAATTCAACCACGACAATCCGTGTCTTCACCTTGTAGTCTAATCCAAACCGTCCATTTCAGCTGAGAAAACACAACTTGTAGCAGTTTTCACCGTCAGATTTTGTTTAGAAACACACGGATAGTAAATCGTATCCGTCAGATCCACTTTAATCAGCCGAACACCCACCTTCTATAAATACCTCTTAAGCTCGTGTTATTGGGTTTTTCTGAAGTCTTTAACTTCTAATCCTCTGAGCGGTCAATCGAAGAAGGGAGAAAAAAAGGTGTTTGTAATAAATCTAAGGTTATTTCGTTACTCTCTCTCCCCGCTTTTTTAAAAATTTAAAAAAATTTAGGGTTTCGTGGCTTTTGTTTCTTTATTTAGTGTTAATTGAATTATGATATCGGGAAGGTAATTTAGGGTTGTGTTAGACTTGTTTGGAATTTGGAAGAAGGATATTTTCTGGGAGGTCTTGAATTTCTTTATGAGTTTCCAGTTGGATTATTCGTTTTAATTCTGATTTTGATAATTTTAGGGATTTTGAAATTGGTTCCTTGGAAAATTAGGGTTTGTTTGGTAATTGGCTCGATTAGTTAACCAAGATCTTGCCTTTGGCCGTAGTTTTTGGTTGATGAGAAAATGTATATAGAAAAAATCACTCATTGTCCCAAAAATATTCCATTTCTTCGCAGGTATGGCCCGTACCAAGCAAACTGCTCGTAAGTCAACTGGAGGAAAGGCTCCTAGGAAGCAACTCGCTACCAAGGTTACTTTTTTCATCCTTTATTAAAAATAACGAGTTTATCGAATTTTAGGCATTTTGTCTCGTTATTAACTTCCGATCCGTCTCTGTTGCCTATCAGGCTGCCCGTAAGTCTGCACCAACTACCGGTGGTGTGAAAAAGCCCCATCGTTACCGTCCTGGAACTGTTGCACTTCGGTTAGTCAGTTCTTTTCATGTTTATCCTTGCATTCCAACGGCATCCTTTTGATTTCTAGGTAGTTTGTTTCATTATGGTTGATTGACTTCTATATTTTGTCTGTACAGTGAAATTCGTAAGTACCAGAAGAGTACTGAGCTTCTTATAAGGAAATTGCCCTTCCAGAGGCTTGTCCGTGAAATTGCCCAGGACTTCAAGGTTCATTATGGGTTTTTTTTTTTCCTATGCTTTTGACAATTTGTCTACTTTAGTTGACTGTTGATTGCCTGTGTTTTCTGGGGATTTGTTTGCAGACTGATTTGCGTTTCCAGAGCCATGCCGTTCTGGCTCTCCAGGAAGCTGCAGAGGCGTACCTTGTGGGTCTTTTCGAAGACACCAACCTGTGTGCTATCCACGCCAAGCGTGTTACAATCATGCCAAAAGACATACAGCTGGCACGGAGGATCAGGGGCGAGCGTGCTTAATATTCAAGTGTGATGCTATCACTTGGAATGAAGAAATTCTTGTTTGTTTGTAGGGAAGGTTGTGTTCCTTTTTTTTTTTAATAGTTTGGTAGATAAAGGATAGGTTGATGGTTGTGGTAGGTTTTATTTGATGTTCAATCGGTCATGGTGGCGTTGGTGTCTGATATCTGTTAACGGACTTCTTAAATCTGGGTACGGTCAGTTTAAATGTGTTTCTCTTGGACAAAAACGTGCTCTTCCACACCGTAGTGGCTTTGAAAATATATCTACTTTTTGCCAACCCAAGCCTAACTAATCTAGCTATGTAACCTGGACAAAAACATGCCGTGACATACTGTAGTGACTGAAAATCTATATGTTGACAGCCAACCTAATCAAAACTAATCTAGTTATCTAGGATTGTTGTATGAATGATAATTGGGGCTTAGCTGTTGATTGGTTCAGCGTGATTTTTGTTCTGATGGTCACTCTGCTCGTACTACAGCAATTTCCTGGTAGATTGCCCCTTCTGGAGCGGTGATTGTTTATTTATCCTTTGGAGTGGGGATATGTGGACGGCTGAAATTGGTAGGAAGTAGTGGTTTGCTGAATGGCCTATATCAATGGGTTACTGAAAGTCTCCTCCGGGGGGGGGGTTGATGGGTTAAGATAACGGTGTAAATAATATATTAATATTAATTTATATTTAATTTGAATAAAATTTGAATTTAGTTTTATTATTATTGAGTTTAAACAGTTTGATTTTTAATCGAGTTAAATTTAAGTATTTTTATAATTTGAGTAGTTTGTAAGTTTAATCGAATTTTTATATTTAAATATATTTTTATTATTTTAATTAATAAAATATTTTGAGTTTGAGTTCGACTACGAGTATAAATAATCAAATTTATTTTTACATGTTAATCGAGTTTAATCAAGCGAGTTTAAATAGTTCGATTTTTATATCGAGTCGAGCTTGAGTTAAAAAAATAAAATTTAATTGAATTTGAGTCGAATATTGAGTTTTAAATTTTGAATCAAGTTCGAGTTTAATACTGTATCGATTTGAATTCGATCGATTATACCTTTAATCTAGGAGGATTAATAATAAATATGATAATTTTAGATATAATAAATGATTCGAAAAGAAAATTATGTGTTTTAAAAAATATATTTTGTATTTATTTATATTTATGTGAATTTTGATATGAGATAATTTATATTTTATACGTGTTAGACATATCTAAATACATAATACGATACGAATAATACATGTAATTTATTTTTTTCATATGAGTATATGTTTAACATGCTTAATATATTTTATATTTATTTTAATTTAACATAAATATAAATATTGTTTTAATTTTTAATCTTTTAATTATGATAATTAATTATTTAATATCATATAATAATTATTTTAAACATTTAATTATGAAACTCATTTAATAATTATTATAAAATTATTTTTTATATTAATAATATAAATATTAATATTAGTTCTATACATTATTATTTTATTTTTAATTTTTAATAATTTATTATTTTGAATTTGATACTAAAAATTAATATAGCTGTGTAATATATATTAAAAAATATATATATATGTATTAAATACATATTAAATGGGTATTAATTTTTTTAATATGTAAGTATTTTTTTATGTTATTAATATATCAAATTTATTAAGTTGTAAATAATGGATAATTTATAATTATTTATTATTTAGTATTAGTTGTAAGTACTTTTTTTATATTATTAATATATGTCTAGTTTTTGTAGATATTTATATTAGTTGTGTCTATTTATATATATCTGTATTATTCGTGTCTGTTCGTATATATCTATATTATTTATATTTATTTGTGTTATATTTAAACAAATTAATTATACATGTGTTAATTACATCTTATCACATGTAATATATATAATAAATATGTAATATTCGTATTTAAAATTTAAATATATTTTATAATTCGTATTATGTTTATGTTTTAATAATTTATGTCATTATATGTATCAAATAAGACATGAGATACGAAATGAAAACATGAATTGCCATGTCTAATTAATAATGGGATCATTTTAAGGTTTTGTTTAATAAACGTGATGGATAAAAAGGATGGAAAAGAATACGAATGAAAATTTTGTTTAAGTATAAATTTTGCTTGGTAGAAGATGGAAAGTGATAAAAATAAAAAATTTGTTAATTTAACGAATAAATTATAAAAATAAAAAAGAGATTATGAATTTTAGTCATTAAATTAATAAAATTTTCAACTTTATATATATATATATTTTTTTTCTATCTTTTTTATTAAGTCTCTCAAAAAAGGGTTTCGAAATGGGAGATTAAGTTCAGAATTTCTGGCAGGGATTACTAAGTGGCTCTTTCAAACCCGTGCTAAAATGAATAATCCGAAAAGGTGGAACTACTTTACTAGTATATTTACATGTAATCTAGAAGAGGAAAAATATATTTAATTGCAATTACTTTGTACTTTTAAATGTGACTTACTGATACGATAAGAAATTATAAAAGATAAAAGTCTATTGAAAGATGGCAGGATACAAAATCGCAATTGCTTGATAATTTTAACTATAACATAGTTACACGATATAAAATCGCAAGAGGTAAGGCGTATTGATAGATGACGCTGGCAGGACCAATCATTTGTTGATTCTTGACAAGGCAACCACTGGTAAATTTTGTAGGCAGTGCACCTTTATTTTCCCAACGCTGCATCTCCTTGTAATTGCCTAATCAAAATCGTAGGGTTGAAAACATTGTCAGAAGCGAAATTTAACCCCCAATCTCGAAAGAGAACCAGAGCTTGATAATAGCGCCGTAGTCCAATCGGCCATTTGACTCCCTTATAATTATATTCTGCAAAAATTTAACTAATAATAAAGAATTTCAAGTAGACATGATTTTCTCTATTGTTGAACATATCAAACAATTATGATACATGTCTATGGTGAATAAGTTTTAGAGTAAAATGAGGGTGTATCAACCGGGATCGGTTCAATTAATAAGTTAGTTTAAAGAGGTTTTAGGGTTTATGTATTTGTTGTCCTATCCAAAATGTAAGCTGTGATCAAAATCTTTGGTGAAATTAACATTTATCTTTTACTTGAGAGTTCGAACAATTTATCTATTTTTAAATTAATTTTTTGACAAAAAAAAAAACTAAAATCTGGTTCATTAATTTAATTTAATTTTTTTAAAATCATATCATTATCATAATAATCTCATTAATTAATTACTATTCAATCAATATAGTAGTAGAAAGTTAAAAAGTTTTTATCATTTTAGTTATTTTATATTAAAAATGAATGATTAAAAGAAAGAAAGTATACATCAATTCCTTCAATTTTCCTTTTTTTTTTTCTCATATTTTATACATCTCTCTTTCCTCCTTCAACCTTCAACCTTTATGTTTCATTTTGAGATCATTGAATTGTAGGAAGTCATTTTGGCTCAAGTTGTACATAGTACCTCTACAATATCAACCACATGTTTCGAAATTGAACTATCCACTACAATCTGAATGGCTTGTCAGCCGGCAAAGTTCACCAATTCAAGAAGTAGAGGTCAAGTCCAAGGCCAGCGCCATTGTTTCATTGGCTTTTTTGTCTTGTTATTTGGAAGTTGGAACAATCTTTGGAGACCATGTTAGCCGGCTAAAAGCAGCAAAAGCAGCAAAATCAGCAGTCAAAACTGAACATAAGAAAGCAACAAACACTAATGGGAAGTAATTACATTTAGAAATTAGATTGAATAAAAAACCAATTAATCGAAATATCAAACAGAAAAATACAACAAAAATGAGAGAACACAAAGATATACATGGTTTGGATTTAACGGGAAAGATTCTAAATTTTAGCTCTGATTTTAGTGGAATACACGCCAACCTCGGATGTTCCAACAAAACCATCCCTTTTTTTCCCTCTCTCTCTCCCTCTAGATTTCATCTTTTTTTTTTTTAATTTTTTTTCCGAATTTAGATGATTCTTGTACTGACCATGACTTCTTTTCGAATTCTTAATTTTCTCTTTTTTTTTTCCCATATATATATATATATCTTTTAATTAGATCTTATCTCCGCATTTTTCTCCAACAGGAATTTTCTTGTAGCTTAATTTAACCATTTTTAAACATTTTAGTATTGTTGGCTTCTGTTTGTTTCACGCTTTTGTTGTTTTAACCAGTCACCAAATCTTGTTTATTTTTAGAACTCATTGGTCTTATTGAGTTTTTCAAAAAGAAAGAAGCCCTTCATTGCTTTCATCCAAAAGCCTTCTCTTCTTCAGCATATGACAAGGGAAGTCTCTTGACATTATCAGAGATCAATCCTAAGTCTTTCCTGTCTCTCCAAACAAACCCTCAAAAACGTTTCCAATTCAATCAAGGTATGCCAATGTCTTGCTAGTATTTGTGTTCTTGGACACGTTTTTTTCACGATCAATGTCTGAAATTTCCATGGTGTTTCCTGGATTTTGTGATAGAAAAGGAGTTTTCGGGTTTCAGAGACACAACAAGAAATGGGGCAGCTTGAAGAGGAGTCAACAAGAATGAAGGAGCAATCGACCGCCAAAGAACGAGATAAAGCGGCTGATGAGCTCAAAGGGATGAAGTTGACTCAAGAGGCCAATAAGAGGTCTAGTCCAATGGCCTCAGGAAAGGTTGCAGACATCCATACAGAACTTGCCGCGGTGAAGGACGCATTAACTGGTGCAATTGAAGAATTGAAGAACAAGGAGAGGTATATTGAATCCTTGAAAATTGAAGTTGGAAAGGCTAAAGAGTTGGAGGTGAAATTGGCAGAGAAAGAAGCTTCATTTTGTAAGTTGAAAGAAGAGTTGATTAAGGTGCAATCCTTCGAGTCTGAAGCAATGGATTTGTTGTCTGAAGGTAAGAAGAGAATTCATGAACTGGAGGAAGAATTTGAGAAAGGGAAGGAATCCGAAAAGAAGATATATGATGCATTTGTTGCTCAAACCAAAGAGTTTGAGCAAACAAAGGTTTCACTTGAAGAATCCAGGCAGGAAATCAAGTCTCTTCTTGAAAATCTGGAGAAATTGGAAGGTTCATCCGAGGCTGCATCTCAGAGTTCCGTGGGGGATGACCATTCTTTGATCGATAGCCTTGAGTCTGAGCTTCAATTGGCAAAAGAGAATTTGGCTCGTGCTGTGGAGGATGAGAAAGTTTCTTCATTAAAGGCCAAGAGTCTAGCTGAGGAGGTGAGCTTGTTGAAAAATGAACTCAAGTCTACTGCAGAAGCAGAAGAAAACAACAAGAAGGCCATGGATGGTTTAGCGTTAGCCTTGAAAGAAGTGATAACAGAAGCAAACCAAACCAAGGAGAAACTCTCGTCAACAAAAGATGAGCTTGAGAAAACAAAAGGGGAGGTAGAAAACTTGAAGGTGAAGTTGAAGAACGTTGAGGAAAAGTATAACGAAGCAAAGAAAGAAGCTGATCGATTCAAAAACACTTCTGAGAGACTCAGATTAGAAGCTGAAGAAACCCTTTTGGCATGGAACGGGAAAGAGACTGGGTTTGTTCAATGCATTAAAAAAGCTGAATATGAAAGGAATGCTGCACAAGAACAGAGCAAAACATTGCTTGAATCGCTTAAAGAGGCTGAAAACATGTACAATAAGGCCAAAGAAGAGAATAAAAAATTGCGGGACATCGTGAAACAGGCGATAAATGAAGCTAGCGTAGCCAAAGAAGCTGCAAGCATTGCCAGGGAGGAAAATTCCCAACTCAAAGATGCCTTAAGCAAAAAGGATGAAGCTTTAAATTTCCTTTCCCAAGAGAATGAAAACCTTAAGATTAATGAAGCAGCAGCTTTCGATAATATCAGGGAGTTGAAGCTATTGTTTTGTGAAGCAACAGCAACAACTACTACAAAGGAGTGGGAAACAGATGAGCAAGATCAAGGTAAAAAGCAAAAGCCATTGAGTTCTGCAGATAAGGAACATAAAGATGATAAAGAACATACCAAGAAACCAAAGCATCATAAATCCAGCAGCACTTGTTTGAGTCTTAAATTCCCGCATTATAAACACAAGGAAGCAGAAGAAGAGCCCAAAATCCCACTCAAAGAAAGTGATGAAGATTCAGACTCTGATTGCTCTGACCCGCTTAGGGGCTCCATATTTGATGTAGCTGAAACTCCAAACGCTGCAGCAGTTGCAACCCATCAGCGGAAAAAATCTTCTTCTTTCCTCACAGATGATGAAACAATTAATGGTGAGGACTTTGATCATCTTGATACAGGCCATTTCGATGACGAAGGTGATAGGAGCACCAGAAAAAAGAGAGCATTGTTGAGAAGGTTTGGTGATCTTATAAGGGGAAGAAGTTTTCCCAAGAAGGAACAACCTTTAGAGTAATTAAAATAAGAACAATGAAAATCTTTTGTATGTATTACTTCAATTTGTTTAGACACTTGATTGCATGATGTTCACAGTGTATAAATTTATTCATTTGTTTATATTAATTATTGTATAATTACATCTTTCATGAAATTGATGACTTAAAGAGTGAAAAAGAATATATTATTTCTAGGGTTGTAAAATACATATATATACAAAAGTATAAATGAGTTTAAAGCTCATGAGATATATCCAAAAATAAAACCCAACCTTATAAGTCAATTAAACATAATATACATTTCAATAGCTCCTTTCAAACTGAAGATGATTTGAAATGAAACATTTGGAGTTTGGAAACTAAATAACAAAAACGTGACCTTGAAAGAGACTTTGTAAAAAGATCTGTTACTTGTAATTCGGAATAAATATGTAGTAGCATGATGGTGCTTTTGCGTATCTTTTATTTGATAAAATGACAATCTATTTCAATATGTTTTGTCCGTTCATGAAAAATATCATTGTGAGCAATTTGAATTACACATTTACTATCACAAAAGAGTGGAATAAAGTAGGCATGTCAATACCTAAATCCATAAGTAACTAACACAATCACATAATTTTTACTGTATTGTTTGAAAAAGCTCTATATTATATTTCAGCACTTAAATGTGCCACAACTGTTTGTTTTTTATTTTTTCAAGATATCAAAGAATCACCCAGAAAAACATAATAACCAGTTATAGAATGTCAATCATTAACATCACCATCCCAATAAGAATAAGAAAAAGCACGAAATTCAAATTTAAAAGATGATGAGAACAACAAACCTTTATATAACGTTCCTCACAAATATCTTAATATTCTAAGAACTGCAGCAAAGTGAATTGTTCGAGGTGCTATCATAAATTAGCTCACAACTTGAACTATATGACTAATATCAGGTCTTGTAACTATCAAATATATAAAACTACTAACCATCTATACAAAGTAGCATCATCGAGAAGTTCTCCATCAGTTTTGACATTAGTTTTGAGAGGAGTGTCAACAGTTTTATTATCAAATAAGCCAGTTTTAGAAATAAGATCACAACATATTTCACTTGAGATAAGACATATCCATGAGAGGAACAATCAATTTCAACTCTCTGAAAATATCATAATGGACTAAGATTCTTCATCTCAAAGGTTTTGCTAAGGAATTTTTTATATTATGAATACTAAAGTTATTCTATTCGGTTATCACCATATCATCAACATAGAAAAGCAAAAATATAATATCTCTTTTAGATTGATGAATAAATAAGCTGAATCGTAAAGATTTTGCACAAATTCAGAGTCAAGCATAGTAATGCTAAATTTATCACACTAAGTATGTTGTGCTTGTTTAAGACCATATAAAGCTCATCGAAGCTTGCACACTTAATTAGTTTGGCAAGACAATCCAGGAAGAGGTTTCATCTAAACTTCTTCACAAAGATCTCCATTCAAGAAAGCAATTTTTTACATCAATTTGTGATAAAGCCCATCATCGAATAGAAGTAATAGCTATAAGAGTTCGAATAAAAGTCATTCGAGCTATAAGAGCAAATGTTTCTTCATAGTTAATACCATACTCCTGTGTAAATCTTTTTACAACCAACCTGACTTTATATCTCTCGATAGGCCCATTTGATTTAGTTTTTATCTTGTACACCCACTTACAATCCATTATAGATTTTTCAAGAGATAAATAAACAAGATCCTAAGTATGCGTTTTCTCTAAGGCATTTAATTCTTCTTTCATAGTTGCTTGCCAAAGAGGATTAGAACTTGCTTTACGATATAATTTACGTTCATAAACAGAAAGAATGGTAGATAAGAAACAATGAAAATCATGATAATGTTTTGAAGAAGATCACTCATGTGTTGAACGTTTTAGTTTTGGGACAAATAGCTTTGACGAATTAAACAACGGTGGTGCACGATTGCTTATGGTAGAGTCAATGATGGGACAAGCTTCATTTGGATGAATCTGCTAAGGAGTTGGAGAACTTTGAGACACATGAGAAAATTGATTAGAGTTATTTAAATCAACAAAAAACCAAAAAAAAAAAAACAAAAGACTTATAAGGATCATTAGCAGATTTTTGAAAACGAGATAATGAATATATCGAAATATTTTTTCAAAAAGTAACATGTCGAGAAACATAAAGTTTTTGTGTAATAGGATCATAGCAATGATATCTTTTTGTCCAAAACCATACCCTAAAAACACACAAATGGCAGTTTTTTGAGATAATTTAAAACACTGAACTTTAGGAAGCGAAACAAAATATGTAGAACCAAAAATACGAAGCTAAGAATAATTAAGAGTATTGTTATACAAGCGTTCAAAAAGAAAAATTCCACCAATGACGGAAGAAGGAATACGATTACTAACATAAATTGAAGTAAGTGCAGCTTCCCCTTAAAATTTTTTAAGAACTAATGAAGATAACAATAAGGCTCTAGTGGTTTCTATGATATGACGGTGTTTTCTTTCAGCACCACCATTATGCGGTGATGTATCAAGTACAAGATAATTCAAGAAAAATACCTTGAGAAGCAAAAAACTCTTTTAAATTATTTGATTGATATAACCCAACAAAATCAACATGAAAATGTTTAATAGTTTTAGAAAATTGTGTTTTGATCATGGTAGAACACTCTTGATAAATTTTAAATAATTTGAATGATGCCGAAACAAATAAATCTAAGTGTACCTTAAATAATCATGAATAAAAATAGCATAATAACAAGAACCCCCATAGTAGGTAAACGAGATGGGCCTTACACATCAGAATGAATAAGATCAAAAGAAGATAAAGAAACTGATTCACTTTTATTGAAAGGTAAAGCAGACTGTTTTGTTAGTTTGCAACTGATACAATTATTAGACGTTTTTGACTTAAAATAAACTAACTTGCCATTAAATACCAAATATTAAAGTCTAGAACAAGAAACATGTCCCAACTTACAATGCCAGAGGGAAAAGATGAAAGCCTTTGAATACTAGAAATTAATAAGGATTTTCGCATAAAAGGATGATCAAATTGATTGAAAGGACGATGTGAAACATGTAAGTTTTACAAAATGAATAATCTTTCAATTTTACGTCCTGTCTCAACCACTTTTCCCATTAAGCAATCCTGCCCCACACAATTACAAGAATAAAAAATGACATCAAGACCTTGATCATATAAGTGACCAACAGATAGTAAATTCACGAAAAACGATGAAACCAAAAGAATATTATCAAAAGAAACATTTTGAGAACATAAGACAAAGCCAATATAAATAACAGATACATTTAAACCATTAGCAGTATGAATAGAAGGTGAATAAGTAATAGAACTTGAAGGGCCACAGATAGAATTATAAAAAATTATATGATTAAAAGCTCCAGAATTAATGATCCAATCTTTAGAATTAATACTTGGAGTAGTTAACAATGCAGATGTAGAAAACTTATTATCCATATAGTTGTTACTCATACTAGAAATAACTTGTCGAATAATCTCTTGAGTTTAATTTACAATGGAATGGGAGTTAATATTAAAAGTTTCTGTAGACAACATCGCAGTAGCAACTCACCTCATTTTACACAAGCTAAATTTCTTTTTCAATTCTAGGCAATTATGCCTTATATGTCCCAACTTGTGATAGTAGTAATATTCAATCTTAGAAGAATCTTTTGTTGAGATAAGCCAAATGAATTGGAGATAAAATTTTTAGGATGTGCAGTAGTTACTAAAATAGTATCATCTTCTCCTTTGAATTGATTGAGGATGCCTCTCTTAGTTTTTTCAGCCATCAATTCTGACAAAATAGCATCAACAGAAGGAAAAAGGGACATGATGTAGAATAGAAGCACAAATAGACTCAAAATCATCTTGAAGTGCCATTATGAATTATGCAAGATGACTTTTTTCTCTGTATCGATAATATAATTCTGCATTAATAGTCTATTTAGATTCTATAAGAGCTAATTGATCCCAAATAATTTACATTTCAAAATGAAAATAAAAAATTAATTGTCAATTTCTCTGTTTCAAAGTAGCAAGATCTATCTCAAGTTTATATCTTCAAGCAAAATCAGTTTGAACATAATGTTTTTCAAGAAAATCTCAAACCTTCTTAGCAGTGTCAAATTTTCTAAGTTGTATACTAATTGAAAGAGCAATAGTATTAACAATCTAAGTAACAATTTTGCTATTATTAATCTCCCATTATTCATATATAGACTCAAAATTTTTCAATATGTCAAGAGCTTTCAGACATTTTTTTATCACTTATAACATATTTCCAAAGTCCCTTTCCTTTTAAAAAATTTTGCATCAAATAAGACCAATGAGTGTAGTTTGTTTCATTTAATTTCACTGTAATAGACTGTGATGATTCTGAGAGAGCCATGATAGAAAAATAATTGAAAACCAATACCCTGATCAACCCGTAACAAGCCAATAAATTGATCAATTCGTAACAAGTGAAATAGACAAGCCAATTACACATGTGAACAATTCAAAATCAATAAAGTATTTGTACATCCATAGCCAATGAATAAACATAAGAAAAGACAAAGGCAATTCCAATTTCACAAAACCCAAGCTATATTTAATGGCATAAAAATCAATTCCACCCAATTCCACAAAATGAAAAAACAAACAACAACCTTAAGGAAAAAAAAAAAAAGAAAGGTCAAATAATAGCAAATTAAAGTGACCTGAAACAAAGAAAAATAGCAGTGATCGAAAGCATTGATACCATGATGACTTGAAGAGTGAAAAAGAATATATTATTTCTAAGGTTGTAAAATGCATATATATACAAATGTATAAATGGGTTTAAAGCCTACGAGTTATATCAAAAAATCAAACTCAATCTTATAAGTCAACTAAATATAATATATACATTTTAATAGGAATGAGATTTTTCACTTCTAAATTTTGATTTATTAACAAAATATGAAATAAGAGTTATCTAGCTGCTAATATAATAATCAAGGCATGAAACAAGATATTATACACATTGACTTAAAAAACAATGATGATATGTTTTAGTTTCTGATTCCAGTGTGGTATTCAGTTGCATCCTATCAAATTAAAAATGCTTGGAAGTTGGAATGAAAACTTTTTTGAGTTTTTTAAAACTAAAAGCCATGTCTATGGATCGT